GCCAAGGGAGGAACAATTGTTGATATTTCAGAAGAGCATCGTCCATGAAAAAATCTATCAAATAGAGCCAGATCGCCAACTTTCCTACGGTGTTCCACAGAAGTTAGTGAGTTTGTGAGCGAGGCATCACCCACGAGACGAATTGTCATTTTTTGGACAGAATCCAACAGTTTCAGGGTATGTTTGGGTGATGCACTCCAAATATGGGAATAGTATTCCACTTTTAGCAAATTATCTCACGTGATTTCCCCAAGAAAGGTTATTGCTGATAGTAATCCCTAGCATCGAAATGAATGTCTTAGCTTATGTTGGGCACAGTGAGATCGGCTTTTCTAGAGAAAAGGCATGCTTCTGTTTTGTTTGCATTGAAATCTACCAAGTTATTGGATCCCCATTGTTGTTGTTGTCAACATTTCTCCCATAGCCATACCAAATATTCCCACGGTATAAACGTGGCCAGTAATGTTGAGTCTCAATAAGGGTCTAGAAACTATAAGAGATATATTCGTTTAAAATTTGAGGAAATATAATTTCTCTGAACTTTTAGGATTTTCTCCCCTAGTTTATATCTATGAATATATTAGATGATTTGCGCCAAAATGTTGTGAGTTTAATAATTATTTTTTGAAGAGAACAATATGAATGTCTTCGAATGTCTCATAGTATTAACCAATGCTACGCCACGTGGTGAAGTTGAGATCTAAATATAATATGATAGATTCCGTTACTGAAAATTTTATTATGATTATTATACGTTCGAAATATCAATCATCAATGCATACGAACAGATGTATACCTATATTTCTAATTTCACACATTTTTTTCAAATTGACCGACATAACATGTAATTTGTGTACATTATGATAAAACCATAATATGTTTCTCATCAAATGGTGTATTTTTGACTTTTGAATGACTACTGTTAATGTTAGATAAAACAAACATTATCAGAAACACATGTGGCAAATATATCTACAATATTATTCAATATCTATAATACATAAATACCCAAGGGAACTGAGCATAATATGTAATTGTGTACTCTTGAAATTGATTCTTGTCACTGGAGACAATCATATCATGTATTATTCTATTGAAGGTATATACTCCCATCAAGGTACGGACAAGTCACCAAATTTTCGGTAAAAAACGCCGAAACAGAACGGTGCAAGCAGGCCAAAAGTGCTCATTATGCCGAAAAACGCCAGTGGACAAGTTATCACCATATTAATTTTGGAAAAAATGATCCTGCGACGCCAATTCGAAAACAACTGTCCCCTTGTGTTATGTCATTGACAAGGGATTCTTTGACTTTATCAAATAACCTAAAAATTCCATTTGAAATTCTCGATCTAGGTCAATTCACGGTAAAACGGGAAGTGATATCCAATTGTTTGTCCATGAAATATATGGGTTTTGAGGAACTATCCTTGATCCAAATGTCAAAAGTCTAACGTGAAAAACAACTAAATATCGCCCTGTCCAATGATTTCGTTGTCACCCGGTATACCTGCCATGAATCTATAGACACTTTCTGATTCACTACAATATCGTGATTGTCCATTGACACAAAAACACGCTTATTTTCAGTGACACAATGTACCTATCTCTGAAAAGAAGAAATATAGGTTAATATACAGATTGTTTGCCCAATTGTTACACATAGTACATGTAAATGGCAACATAGCAAGAGAGAAACTGATTCGGCTATCGTACGTCTCCGCCAGTGTTGCCAGTTGAAGATTGAGATGAGCGGTAGACTTGACATGAACAAACGGTAGATTTAATGATAGAACCGTAGATATAGTTTTGAAATTGCAATTATTGCCGAGTACTACCTAGTGTTTTACCAATCACACAATTGAGTAGGTAGGTAATCAACACTTCAAACAATGAAGCTTCAGGAAAGATAACTCGGAGAATTAGTAAAATTGTGTGGAAGCCACGAATCTTGGGTATTCACCGATTACCGACATCTCCTGGGTATTCACCGACCGAGATGAGCCGAACATTCAAAACCTATAATTATGTAATCCGCATTCATTTTCACCCACACTATGCGAGTACTATCGCGGACTGCGGAATTTGATATTGAAGATTGTTTCATAAGAAAAATGGAAAAGAAACAACACAAAGTCGGTCGACCACACTTTATATAAAAACTTCCTCAAAAAGTTACCGGTTTCGGCACTACGGCCATCATCAGACAATGGTACCTTGAATAATAGTATGACAAATATAAACATACCAAACAATATGGGACTCAAAATGTAAAAATCTGTACCATTCGTATAACTTTTTTAAATTTACTGAAGAGCCAGAAAAAACTGGCTTTGATGAGGTTGAACACGATTTCGAGAAAAATTGTTTTTATACAAACATCAGCATCAGTTTGCCGTCAGTACTAAAAGGAACTGAAATTGTAAAAATTGACAATTATGATAGGAAAATGAATTTGACGTTGAACACAGCGGACACGGAACAGAACTGTGCTAAACTGACACAATAGATCTTGAGGTAACATAAAGAAGAAACATGGTGCAAAGAAGAAAAATGGTGCGAAGAAGAGAACTGAGCATGTAGGGAACAGATCAAAGAAAAAGAAGAAGAGAATAAAACAAAAGAAGAGACAAGTGTAGCAGGGAAATGAGAAGAAGGGAGGGAGGAATGGACAATGAGATATCCAGAGGCGGAGAGGAATCCTTACATATAGGAGTATTAAGAAAGGTTGGCATTTGGCAACATGGCAGTATTGGCAGTTACGGATGATAGCGGTTTTGTTTCATGTGTGGCCTGTGTTGTTGTTGTCTACAGTTTTTGCGGTAGATCTATCGTTTTTATTATGTGAACCGCTCTGCCGCAGAGTCACAATATATACCGCTAAAATTTGACTTAAAATTATTTGCTATCAATAAATTAAATTGACTTGTTTCATGGGTGTGGACCGTATCAACTTCATTTGAATTAAAATTTGATATTTTCAATCTGATCCTGACAAAATGAATAAAACAACAAATTTTGAGTTCATGTAATGAAACTATGTAGATTCAGCAAGTCTTTAGGTTTGAATAGATTTACAGTTGCAATCAATTGATTCTAAAAAACGTAAATTGAAAATGCACTTCACCGTTTTATTTTGTAATTTCATGTGTGGCTTCAAACGTGAAGTATTTGTACTTCCCCGAATAGATATTAAATATTATAATTTTTTTTAAATAAGACAGAAATGAGTACTCTTTTTCTACAACTGTCAAAAAACTGCACTTGTTAAATATATTTTTTGTGCCTAAAGCGTACAATTTTTCAATATCAAAATACTGTTTCATTATTTTACTGAAAAATGTGAAAGAAGTACACTTTTTTCACGGTTGTTGCTAGGCGATGGGATGAATGCTTGCGTGAAAGGGGCTCATATATAAGGTGGCCACAGATAAAGTGCATGTGTGTCATACTTGTTCGACATAATTTGTTGGGTTTTATCCACAGACCCTCACTGTAGCTTGTCGAACATGTTGGTTTATTAGTGTACGATGAGCAGTGACGACGAATACATTTTGTTAGCAGCGGCGTACGCTGTCTTGATCAGGGTTGGGATTGTTGTTACAATTGTAATATTTCTATTACAATCGCGTCTCAGTTATTACGGTATTACTACATTGACGAAAACAGCCAATATCTATTACATTTTGACTGGAGGTAGTAATTCAAGTTTGAGGGCAACGTGAATTTATTTCTTCATAAAATAGTTTTGTCAATTTTCTTACGAAGGATTTTTACAATTCCGACCCTAAAATCCAAGACATAATAACTCGCCTAATAATCTGATAATACCGATTTCATTTGGTGACGACTCAAAGCGAGGTATGAAAAAATGAACGAGTAAAATATAAATACTGTCTGTAGGTTATTTTCATCTTATAGAAACGAGGAGAGAATATCCCAAAAAATCTGAAATAATGAAAGTAAAATATATGTTATGTTCTGAAACTTAATCTGTATTTGGAGATCATGATGATTTGAGATTTTCATTATTCACATTTTCCGCTCGGCTATTATCCATGTATCTATTTTGTCCTATTATGAAATGTGAAATCCCAAAAAGTTATTCTTACTAGAAATACAATGTTATTAGTTGAAAATAAAATATTTATCTTGTCATATAGAAGCTAAACGTTTTGTGAGACTGAGTTAATTCATTTAGCTTTTTCAGTTCGTTCCTATTTTATTCTCAGTTTTTATTCATTGTGGGAATTGAGTATGTGTTGTTTTTCATTTTTTCTTCATTTTTCCAGGACAGTCCAAAATTCTAAGGTACAGTGTAACCAAAGAATCTCCTCTTGTAAAATTATAATAGGGAAATTCAAATTTGCCGCGCATTGTTTCAAATCTATTACATTCTATTACATTTTGCTACCAAGATTCAGTACAAACTGACACTAACGAAATCCCAACCCTGGTCTTGATCAGTAGCGCTTCGGCCCGCTAAACAGACGGTCGCATACGTGCCGGAATCAGGCGACCTTGAACACCGGTGTCGTGGTGTCGTGTTAGGTGCTAATATAAACATACATATTATTCGATTAAACTGAGTTTTACGTGTCCGAGTCGGATCTTCATCTAAAAACGGTTGGCGCGGGACCTGAGTTGAGACTCAAGACCGCTCAGCCAATTATATACTGGCAGACAAAGAGTCTGCATCTAGAGTATATCTTGAATCAGCTGGGTCAGATAACGCTTTCAGCCACATAACACAGGGTGCTTCGGCACCCTGTTACAACCTGGAAGGAGTAGGGAAGACAGTGAGGAAACTTAGATCGGCCTACAACATTGAGGGTTCTAGAAACGGCAATGAACAGGGTGGAGACAAATCCGATCCAGCTGAGCTGGATCGAGTAGGTTCGGCTGGAGAAGGGTCCTCCACCCCCGACATCGTCGTGATAGAAGACCTCACAAAGCACAATAGGAGCAAAACAAACAACGAAATCCCGATCTTTGGCAGAATGGGAGGCATTGAAAACCTGCCCATCAGGAATTTGCAGCAAATACCAGCCCATATGCGAAGAAACCTCTTCACGAATCTTCCCGACAAATGGAAGCTGGAAGCGTTTCGAAAATTCTACGAGAAAACAGGGTACCACCTCAATGACTTTGAAAAATGGAGCGACTTCAAAGTCTGCAAGTCACCCAAAATCACGAACATCAAGCTGAATAACACGCAGCACAAGGTCATTGTGATGGATATCCTCACGGAGATAGAAACCCTCGCCAAACCAGAAAACATTCCTCTGTCATTGTGGAGGATGACAGGGCAAATGTACCCCAAAATTAGTTTCGAGGCTAGAACCCAGCTGATACAAGAAAAAATGAAGCAGAACAATATAGAGGGGTTGCAACCTGACAATTATGACATCGTCAATAGATCATTTTCGAGCATAGAAGACTTCTTATCATCTAGAGCGTCGACTATCCCCAATCGACTAAGCACCACCCCCACCCAGGAGGAGGAGAAGCGTGTAAATGCAAACACAAGGAATGTCAAACTAACCATCCCCCCACGAGATGCAGTAACCACTCACCGATCACCCCCTCCATCCCCTTTTCCTCCCTCACGGAACGAGGTGAACGAGGAAACTCAGGAAGATAGAGATGCGAGGATGAGAGGGTCTGCTCATAAAGCCAACTCTCCTACTTCCTCCCCCACCCACCTGGAAATAAGCATGGCTGTAACCAGAACGCTAAGGACCAGGAACCCTAGAAGAACATACACACCTGAAAACCAAGATCGACCCAGATCCCCGAGGCTAATCGGGGATTTTGTGGAGGAGGCGGTGTTAGTTACCCCCTCTGTAAACTCCAAGATCACTACACAACCCCTTGTTGAGGAAATCCCTGCTATGCCGGCTCACTTCAATTTGGCATATGCAGAGGGACTGAGGAGTTTGCAGAGTGAGGAGAGAAATAACTGCCTTATGGAAGTGGAACTGCATCCGATGGGGCGATTGCTGGAGAAAAGGAGGAGATGGAACGACCCCCTACCAGATACGGAAGAGAACCAGAGTGGAGCTACCACCAAGCAGGCCAAAGACAATGATGGCTTTATCATCCCAAAGAAAAGCAGCAAATGGTCGGAGATGATCAAGCAGAGGTGCGAAATAAAACCAGTTGAGACGGCTAATAGGTTCAACCCCATCTCCGACCAGGCCCAGCCTGGCCCTTCTGGGACTAGTGGAATCAAAGAGACCCGCCCCACTCCCCCTATTAGCAGTAGCTGTTCCTCCTCCGAGGATGAAGAGGAGCAGGTACTAATTACAAAGAGCAACCCCAAGAAAAATAAGGCAAACAAAAACAACAAAACACAAAAACTAAATAAAAATAACCCAAAAACCAAACAAAATAATACTAATCAACCTAAGAAGAACCAGAAGCCTCCTCCCATTGTCATACAAGGGATAATCACAGACAGGAGGAGGTTTCTAGAAGAAATCAGATCCATAGCAGAAAAAACAGTTTTCTTTAAATACGGACACAATTCCACTTTGCTCTATGCGGAAAATGAAGAGGACTATGTAAAGCTGCGGGATAAGTTCAAGACTGAAAGTGTCCCTTTTCACACCTATACGCAAAGAAAAGATAAGTCTCACGCATTCGTGGTGCGAGGACTGGACTTCGAGCCTGAGGCCTCTGAAGTCACAACAGACTTACTGGAACAACATCAAATAGTGGCCAAGGAAGTCTTCAGGCTTCGGACAAGGTTTAGGCCCCTTTACCTTGTCGTTGTTGACCCGAAATACACTCTACAACTTCTCAACAATAAAGCTAAATACATACTATCAACAAAAATTTCGTGGGAGATGCGACGCAATAATCGCGAGATCTCACAGTGCAGGCGGTGCCAGGTGTGGGGACATGCCACCAGCAACTGTTTCAGACCACCTAGGTGCCTGAAATGCGCTCACCTCACGTCGGCCTGCAGTTTGCACAACTCGCAGCCTGCGAAATGTGCGAACTGCGGGAATGATCACCCTGCGAACAGCACGGATTGTGAGATCTATAAAAAGAAAATAGCTATACTTCATCAAAGTCGGGTCAATAGGCCTGGTAGAGGTGGTTGCACCCCCGCCCCTCCCCCCACCAGGAATGCGTGGGAACAACGTAGAGAGGCCCGGCAGCCCACCGTAGCAGCAGAGATGGATAGAAGTGACCCACCTTCTCAAACCAGCTCCCAGAGGCCGGCAACGAGTGCGCAGGGGACTGGGACTAATAGAATAGAATAGAATAGAATAGAATAGAATAGAATAGAATTTATTTCTCGAATACACACATATTACATACAACTATAATTAATTTTTTTCAATGGAAGATTTTCATGCATGCTGGAGCTCATGTGTGAGCTATTGAGAAGAGCAGTTCATTTTTAGTTTGTTTTTACACAATTATAAAAAGCAATTACACAAATTGTAATGATAATAATAAAAAGAAATAAAATGGTGAAACATATTCGCAATATTTGAAAAATGCATCAAAGCTTACATATAAGTAAAAAATTACATATTGATACTGTAAGAATGAGTTAAAAATGTATATGTTAATATTGTATTGATATAGGAATAAAAAGAAATGTATATAAAATAATTCACAAGTTTATAAGTATAACAATCAAGCGATTTATAAGTGGGCATTGAAGAATTGATTGGTATCGTAATAAACGTGGGTCTGAAAAAATTGTTTGACTTTATTTTTAAAAATATTTAGTGAAACTATTTCTGTTATTGAGGACGGTAGGTGGTTGAATGTTTTTGTTGCCATATATAAGGGACCTTTCCTGTTCACTGTATAATTGAATTGAGGTGGTATGTACTTGTTTTTGTTGCGTGTATCATGGTTGTGGACATCCGTGAATTGTTCTAGTTCATGTTTCTTTTTGAAAGCTAATAAGGAAAGACGATATAGATACAAATTTGTAATTGTGAGTATTTTCAGTCTTTCAAAATGACTCCTACAGGATTCGATCCGTTTTATCCCACAAATGGCCCTGAGAGCTCTTTTTTGTATTACAAATGTGCTGTTGACATCTACTGAATGTCCCCAAAACTCTATACCATATTGTACTAAGCTGTAGAAATAAGCGTAATATACTGTTATTGCTGATTCTATACCGATATTTTTTCTTATGGTATATATTGCGAAAGTAGCACTGCAGAGCTTTTTATTTAGGTTATGAATATGATTCTTCCAATCCAACTTTTCGTCTATGTGAATTCCGAGAAATTTTACAGTTGTTCTCCCCTGTATTTCACCATAGGGTGTTTCGATCGTGATTTGGCTTGTGTCCTTATTTGGATGGAAGGTTATAGTATGTGTTTTATCTGTATTAAGGCATAACTTATTCGCGGAGAACCAGTGCATTATTTCTGTAAGTTGCTCGGATGACGACACCGACAAATCTTCAAGGTTATCGCCTGAGTCTATTACACTCGTATCGTCCGCAAATAAGCAAAATTCTAGAGACGGAAAATTAGCCACTAAGTCATTGATGTATATCAAGAATAATATCGGACCCAGAATCGATCCCTGGGGAACACCATATTGAAGCTTTCCGTTATTAGAGTGATATTGTTTTATTTGTGAATTACAATTATGTGTTATACGGATTACGATTTCGCGCTCTGACAGATATGATTCGAACCAACTGTGCGCAATCCCTCTTATGCCGTAGAATTCTAATTTCTGTAATAAAATAGCGTGATCAACGCAGTCAAACGCTTTAGATAGATCGCAAAACGTAACTAGTGGAATTTGTTTATTTTCAATTTTGATGTTAAGTTTGTTTATGAGATCGAATGTAGCATCTGAAGTGTTCATATTTTTTCTGAACCCATATTGTGAATTTGTGAGAATGTGATGTTTATCTAGAAAGCTAATTGTTTGTTCTTTTACCACACTTTCAAGAATTTTAGAAGGAGATGGCAACAGTGAGATGGGACGGTAGTTTGTTGGATTCTCTCTATCACCTTTTTTGAACAATGGCTTGATTATCGTTTTTTTTAAAATCTGTGGGAACACACCTGATTTCAAAGATAAGTTAACAAGGAATGTTAGTGGACCTTTGAGGATGTCAGCATTTTTTTTAATAATTGTGATTGGTATGTTATCATGGCCGGTAGATTTTTTATTCTTCAGTTGTTTTAAGGTTGTTTCTATATCGGATTCAATTACTGGTTTGAAGAAGAGAGAATCTGGATGGAAAATTTTCACATTTTTCAGGTAATCGTTGTGCGATTTAGTATTATTATATTTTATATCCAGTGTGCTTACAACATTTAGGAAAATATCAAGAAATGAATTTGCGACATCTTCTGGATCCTTTATAACTTCATTGTTCACTTTCAGATTTATGTTGTCTGGAATATTGAATAATTTTTTTTTCTTTATATTTGCATTAATTATTTCCCAGGTCGTTTTTATTTTACATTCCGACTCATTGACGATGTCAATGATATGTTTTTGTTTAGCCTGGTTGATCACATTTTTGAGAAGGTTGCAGTACTTTTTTACATAATTCGAAAAAGTTAGATCCTCCGTAAATCTTTTCAGGTAAAGGAGGCAACGCTTATTTACACAAGATGTTCTGATTCCTTTTGTTAACCACCCGCGATTGTTGGGTTTGGGTCTACATTTGATTTTTTTAATGGGAAAAGCTAATTCAAAACAACTGAGGAGAGTCTCATAGAATTGTTTGAAAGCTGTGTTGGTTTCTGTAAGATTAAAAAGAACTTCCCAGTCGGAAAGATTTAATAACTCTCTGAATCTGTTTTCGTTTGTATGATTGAATATTCTTTTATATTGAATTGCTTCTTGAACTGTTGATAGGATGTTATTTTTTAGCGACTAACACCGAGGTGATGGGGGTGATGGCTGAGCTGCGGACTCTTAGCCAACAAGTCAATTTGGGTGAGTTGTTTAGGGCGCTGCGAGATTTGAATACGAGGATTGCTGCATCCAACAAAAACCCCATGGACATCTTGATGATATTCCAGGAGTTCGCTGAAAATATAGCGAGTTACCGAATTAACAATTAGCGTGGCTCTCAAGATGTGCAATTTTAACGCAAATGGCTGTGGTTCCGCCGAGACTCTGTTCTATAGAGCACGTCGGAGTGAGACTACATAGTGGGGAGGTACTTTTTTCGGTATACAACAGCCCCAGGAACAACTTCACTGAGCACGACCTCGAGGCTCTGTGTAGTGCTGGAAATAAAGTCATCATTGCAGGCGACCTGAATGCGAGGCATGCAGATTGGGGAAATCACGCCGACAATACAAATGGACGTACCTTGAGGAGGTTCGGCATGGCTGCCAATGTCAAAATCGAGGCTCCTAGCTCTCCCACTCATATTCCCTTCAACGGAACGTCACCGACGATCATTGACCTGGTAGTGACAAAAAACGTTGTGGATGTCGCCAGAATCAAAATAGTGGATGAGATGAGCTCTGATCATCTTCCAGTGCTATTTGAATCGGGAGTAAAAGCCCCCGAAATCAAAAAATCAATTTTTGACTACCGAAACACAGACTGGAGGATGTTTAGAGCTCATTTGAATGAGAAAACAATGATTAGGGCAAACATCCCTCTGGATGAGATTGATGAAGAAGTAAAAACCCTCATCAAGATCATCCAGGAGGCCAGAGCGGTATCCACTCGTAAGGTCACTATCAGCTCCACCAGGGACCACCTCCCTGGAGATATTCTTGACCTCATTGCACTGAAGAAGCGTGCCAGGCGAACCTGGCAGCGCCTGAGGACGGCCGAGTCTCGAAATGAGTTTAAGAGACTCGGCAATCTTGTAGACGTGAGGATCCGTGAGGTCAGGAATGCAGCCTGGAGGGCCAAGGTGGAGAACTTGAGTCCTCGGGACAATTCTCTGTGGAAAATGATGAAGGGACTTCGCAAGAAAGCCCAAATCGTCCCTACCCTAGAGAATCGTTCCGGAGACGCGGTGACAGATCCGCAGAAAGTAGAAATGCTTGGGAGGCATTTCCAAAGCATAAATCAAATTGATAAAAATCCTATAAACGACCAACAGGCTGAGATTTTGAGGTTGGCAGCACGATATCGAACCATACCTAGTATTCCTTTGTCCCGTCGAGTCCTGGGAAGATTCCTCACTACTCCCAGAATTGTAATGCAAGATATCAAACGGATGAACATCAACAAAGCACCAGGACTCGACGGTGTCGATGTGATTTTGCTGAAAAACATGCCTCGTAAGACGGTCGTTCAATTGCACTATATAATTAATTCTATTATTAGGCACCAGTACTACCCAGAGTCTCTCAAGACTGGAGTTGTTGTACCTATATTGAAATCAAGGAAAGATCCCAAGCAACCAGGTAGTTACCGCCCTATCTCTTTGCTCAGCATGGTGGCCAGAGTGATAGATAAGACAATTCTTCGTATGGTGGACACTCTTGCAGAAGACCTGAGTGTGATCGCTCCTGAACAATTCGGGTTCCGAAAGGGACATAGCACAACGTCTCAAGTAGCCCGAATAGTCCACGGGATCAAAGAAGCCTTCAGCCGAGATGAGAACACAGTTATGGTCCTGATGGATATTGAAAAAGCATTTGACACCGTTTGGCATGAGGGGCTGATATGCAAGCTGGCGTCTGCAGGGATGCCCATGTTCATTGTTAAATTGATAGATTCGTATTTATCCCGTCGAACAATAAGAGTCAAACTCAATAATTCATTATCGCGAGAATTCCCACTCGAGGCAGGGGTTCCACAGGGGTCGTGCGTTTCACCTCTGCTGTACTCATTATATACGTACGACCTTCCTGTGTCCGAAAGTACGAGTACCGCATTGTACGCAGATGATACTGCTATCTATGCACACTCGTACTTCTCGGACGTCGCCAGGGCACAGATCCAGCACCACCTGGACAGAAGGGTCGTACCGTACTTTGACAATGCAAAGATCCGGATAAATCATGCGAAAACTGAGATAATCAACTTTTCAAGGAAATATACCAACAATACGCTATTCCGACCTTTGCGTGTCAAAGACACTGAGGTGGAAGGCAAAGCTGTTGTGAAATACCTGGGGGTAGCTCTGGACAGGCGTATGAACTTCTTCGCAAATACAGAGTACTTATTGGCAAAGGCCAATGCTGCAATCAGGAGCTTGTATCCGCTGTTAGCGAGGAATTCCTCGCTGACTATGGACAACAAGCTCCTGATATACAAACAGATCATACGTCCTACTCTAACATACGCCTGTCCGGTGTTCTGTAGTATTTCGCCTACCCATATGGGTAAGTTACAAATACTACAGAATAAGGTACTTCGTATAATTACAAACGGTAATAGGTACTCTCGAGTGGCAGATATGCATGCACAGTGCTATGATCTTCCCCTAATAAAGGACTATATCCTTAAATTATCGGATAAATTCTACTCGTACCACATACGAAACAGCTCCCTAACAGATGGTATTACGTCAATTAGGGCAGATCATGGCCAACGCAGGAAGCACGGGCTGATTTACGAAGCTTGTAGTATTTTCAGAGAACCCCTGGAATAACCACCCACCTTCCCAATCCATCCCAACAGATTGAAAGCACACCCTTACAAACAGGGTTGGCCGATATATATCAAGTGATATATATCATGATATGTATCATGATATATATCTGATATTTATTGATTGATATATATCATGATATATATCATTTACTTCTTTTTAACAAAATAAATACCGGAGCAAAAAATCCTTGATATTTTGTGTTAAAAATGAGTGACAACAGTGCGTTTCGTGGTTATAACTTACAACTCGGGGAATCCCCGGTTTTTGTTTACTGCTTGTTAGGTACATGGTACGCATACAATGATTTGGTGGAAATCGGTTGCAATTCCTGACTCCGAATGGCCAAAAAAAGAACTCTTCTTACAACTATGTGAGCAGTTATTCAGTGCAGTAGCGGCAACAGCTGGTTTAGAAAGAATTTTTTCGAGTTTTGGAATAGTTCAATCTAAATTGAGAAATCGTCTAGGCAACGAAAAAGCCAGTAAGCTAGTATTTATTTTTAAATGTTTAAACCCAAATACAGATAAAAAAGCCAAAAGCTTGGACTGGATCTCGTCGAATGATGAATTAGTTGCCTTGAGTGAAGATGATAATATTGATAATGATGATTATATCGAGGATTATATTCCTCTTTCTCGGTTTTGCAATCCTTGAAAATTTATCAAATGACAAGTTTTTTATATTACCATATATTACATATTTTCGGAAAAATATTATTTTTTGTTTCGTGTTTTGTTATTTCAAATTAAACCGAGAATTAAACTGAAGTTTGATTTTTGTTTTTACCAAAATAAAGGTAATTTTTCTGTGACGGGAAAAAAGTTTGGCATTTCATCTCTGTTGGCAGGTTATAAAATGTCACTTTTCATAAATTACTTTTTTCCCGTGGGAAAAAAGTGAGTACTTCTTTCCCGGATATATATCACATATATATACTCTGTTAATGGCTTTTGTTGTGCTATAGTTCCGAAAAATAAGTCAATAATACCGTCTCCGAGAAAGAACTGCAAGTCCTTTTATCTTCCATTCGACTTCGCGGTTTCGTATATTACTAAACAACTACTGAATTCGCAATTTTTCAAAATCGAATCACAGAATTGAACTGACAGAAGTGACATCAGATATTTGATTACTTCAAAAGAATGATGAAGATGTCTATAAAACGCAGGTGTCCTTACTGTTAAAAACTTGAAATTTCACGTCGATAATTTTCAGATTTCGAAATAATGTAATATCTTCCCAATATTGATTCGTCCTTCCTTCTGTCACAGAAAAAAATAGTGTATTATACACGGGAAAAATATTAGATTTTAGCTCACGGTTTTTTGTCTCCCTCCGCTACGCGTCGGGAGACAACACAACCTGAAGCTAAAATCTACTACTTTTTTCCCTTGTATAATAAATAACTATTTATAAGTATTGTGTTTTTTTTTGGCATATCAGCCTAGGAACAAAATCGAAATTTCTGATATATATCGGATATATATCGGATATTATGATATTTTGATATATATATAAATATCATGATATTTGCCAACCCTGCTTACAAACAAATTTCACGACTCGAAGGTGGTTTGGTCGGCCCCAGGACTGAACGCTCTGGTCCGACTGTACGACCTCCAAGTGTCTACACATATTGCCCGTAGCTGGGCATAGTAAGCGCATTCCTGTTGGCACCGACCAACAGATATACATCTAGATTCAATCTGCATAATCTATGTGCTAAATCTCAGTCTGTTGATCCCTTTTTATCCCACAAAACCCATCCTAACCCTCACCCTTCCCTACTCCCCTCGACATACAAATCGAATTGTCAGAATGTGGTTTTTGGTTTTTCTTTAATTTTCCACAAACAAATTAACGACAAATTATAGAGTTCATGATAGCGCAATCCAAACATTCGAATTTTCGCTCGCACTGAGCAGCTCGCCCTATCAGCTATGGAAAGGACCATGTCCTAGGACGTAGCTCGGACATCTTCCTCAACACACTTGATTAATAAAATCCGCCCCCCACTGCGCCACTCGTGGCCAACTTCTGGGAACCGATAGAGGTCTACCCGGAGGGCTTTTAATATGTATATTTATTTGTATCGTTTTGTGCGTTCCATATATTTTATACATGTTAAATATTAAGGATTTTATTTATATTGAGTGTATGTCTGTAAAAGTTAAATATTCAAATAAATGGATTTAAATGGCTGTCTTGATCAAAAAGAAAAAAATCAGCTTCTCAACGGCGAAATAGAACGAAATGGGCGAGGGGTAAATCACGTGGGAAGTTTAGTGTACAGACACAAGGAAGTTCGAGGAAGTTTGGGGAAGTTCGAGGAAGTTCGAGGAAGTTCGAGGAAGTTTTGGAAGTTCGAGGAAGTTTGGGGAAGTTCGAGGAAGTTTGGGAAGTTCGAGGAAGTTTGGGGAAGGTCGAGGAAGTTTGGGAAGATCGCCTACTGAAGTTCGAGGAAGTTTGGGATGTTCGGAGAAGTTTGGGGAA